CTCTCTCTCTCTCTCTCTCTCTCTCTCTCTCTCTCTCTCTCTCTCTCTCTCTCTCTCTCTCTCTCTCTCTCTCTCTCTCTCTCTCTCTCTGTCTATCCCTGAATTCTGTGGTCGTTGGTCTGACTAGCCGATTCGAGGTTGTAAATCTAACCCGGATAATTGTGTGTTAATAAGTTGCTAATTATTTACAAATCGATAAAAGTGTCCAGTTGGTACCCCCCCCCACACCTCTGGTCTCGTGTACTGCTTCAGCACCCACGGAAGGTCTCGTGTGCTGCTTCAGCACCCACGGAAGGTCTCGTGTACTGCTTCAGCACCCACGGAAGGTCTCGTGTATTGCTTCAGCACCCACGGAAGGTCTCGTGTACTGCTTCAACACCCACGGAAGGTCTCGTGCACTGCTTTAACACCCACGGAAGGTCTCGTGCACTGCTTCAGCACCCACGGAAGGTCTCGTGCACTGCTTCAACACCCACGGAAGGTCTCGTGCACTGCTTCAACACCCACGGAAGGTCTCGTGCACTGCTTCAACACCCACGGAAGGTCTCGTGCACTGCTTCAACACCCACGGAAGGTCTCGTGCACTGCTTCACCACCCACGGAAGGTCTCGTGCACTGCTTCAACACCCACGGAAGGTCTCGTGCACTGCTTCAACACCCACGGAAGGTCTCGTGCACTGCTTCAACACCCACGGAAGGTCTCGTGCACTGCTTCAGCACCCACGGAAGGTCTCGTGCACTGCTTCAGCACCCACGGAAGGTCTCGTGCACTGCTTCAACACCCACGGAAGGTCTCGTGCACTGCTTCAGCACCCACGGAAGGTCTCGTGCACTGCTTCAACACCCACGGAAGGGATAACGACAGGTTGGATTTTTTTTGTTTACTCGTATACATTCACACGAAAGCCGTCACACGCACTCAGACTCACGAATGCGTACACACACGCGCGCGTACACATACACGAGCAGGAAACTGAGAATTAGAACACACACACACACACACACACACACACACACACACACACACACACTAGTCTCATGCAGGTGTTTACACAAGCTCTTAGAGAAAACTTTTACATTATGGGCTGCCAGAAGTGCCTTGAATGAACGTTTATTGAGGGCGAGAGCAAGCTGTAAACGTTTACTATAGCGTCATTAAACGTTGCCGACGGCAGTAATGAGCAATAAACGTTTGCTCTGGCGTGAAAACGATCAATTATGGTCTTCCTGGCAGCGTGAGGGTTTAGAGAAAAAGTTTGTCGAGGGCAATACTGAGCAGTAAACATGTGTTGGGTCGATAGTGAACTATAAACGTTTGTTAGCTGAAATAAACGTCGTGAGTGGCGGGCTTGTAGTAAACATTAGTGACGGGGCCTCAGTACACGTGTTACAACCATTGGGCGTTGGTGTATGTCAATAAATGCCTTGATATAACCCTTTGGGTCATGTTTAATGCCTCATGATTGATGGAGATTAACCCGTCCAAGAGGGAGCTGGCACGGACATGAGTAGGGTAGGTAGTCATCTACTTGATCTACCAAACAAACATCTACTAACTACTACAGGGTAGGTAGTAGATGTTTGGAGTGAATGTTGCTTTTGGCCGTCAACAAGTGATTGATTGATAAAGATTAAGCCACCCAAGAGGTGGCACGGGCATGAATAGCCCGTAATAAAAAAATAAATTATATGCACCATATATAGCCAGAGATAAGGTGAATAGGCCATTACAACTTACCAGTCTCATCTCTTTCCAGGATGGCTGGGTCAGTCAGTATATTGTGTGGTGCGTCGTGTTCTGGATGATGGTTATCTTGAGGTTATCTTGAGATGATTTCGGGGCTTTTTAGTGTCCCCGCGGCCCGGTCCTCGACCAGGCCTCCACCCCCAGGAAGCAGCCAGTGACAGCTGACTAACACCCAGGTACCTGTTTTACTGCTAGGTAACAGGGGCATGGGGTGAAAGAAACTGCCCATTGTTTCTCGCCGGCGCCTGGGATCGAACCCAGGACCACAGGATCACAAGGCCAGTGTGCTGTCCGCTCGGCCGACCGGCTCCCCTTGGTAGATTGGTTACAATGGTAGATTGTAATTTGGTGTTAGTTTGTTGTTGATAGATGGCTTGGTTTGTCTGACGTCTAATGCCTCGCCAATGTCGAGTCTTCTATTGTCGGTTATTTTGGTGGTGTCTTGTCAGGATATCTCTGGTGATGATAGGGTTATGTGTAGAGACTTATATGTTCCTTGGTAGGTCCTTGTTGTTTGTGTATTGTAAGGCGCCTTGAGAGGGATGTTGTCTTGTCTGTATATTGAATTCGTTGGGTCTGGCAGTTCTCAAGTGGACATGCGAAGGGCATAGACGATATTCGTCTTTTTCAAGTGGTTTTTGTTCGGGGTGAGGAGAGTTTTAGACTCTACATTAACTTCTCCCTCACCGTGATATACAGGCTCGATAGGAAATGAAGAATTGTCAGAGTAGATACGTACATGCGCACACATACAAACATACACGTATGCACATATATGTACGCGCGCACACACACACACACACACACACACACACACACACACACACACACACACACACACACACACACAAACACAGCGTGTGTGTGTTAGGAATCTGTACACCAGTAGATTGACGGTTGAGAAGCAGGACCAAAGAGCCAAATCTCAACCCCCCCCCAAGCAAAACTAGTTGAGTACAACGAGACGAGTACACACACACACACTGTAGTAGGTGCGTACACACACACACACACACACACTGTGGTAGGTGCGTACACACACACACACATGGGTGGAAGCTGGAAACTCAGATGAGTCATAGAGATGCTAGAAAGTTTTCTTCTAGCGTGCGAGAAGTGGGGAAATGGAATGCACCAAAGGAGCACATTGTAGAAGCAAACACTATTCATAACTGTAAAACTAGTTATGATAAGACACCCACACACACCACACCCACACATATCACACACACCACACCCACACACACCACAACCACACATACCACACCCACACACACACACCACACCCACACACACCACACCCACACATACCACACCCACACACACACACACCACACACACACACACACACACCACACCCACACACACCACACCCACACACACACCATAACCACACATACCACACCCACACACACCACACACACCACACCCACACACACACCACAACCACACATACCACACCCCCACACACACACCACACACACACACCACACACACACCACACACACACACACCACACCCACACACACCACACCCACACACACCACACCCACACACACACCACACCCACACACACACCACACCCACACACACACACACACACACACACCACACACACACACACAAATCAAGACGGATGAAGATAGACAAAGACTACAGGCTGACCTGGACAAACTGGAGGAATGGTCTAGAAAATGGCTGCTAAAGTTCAACTCAGGAAAGTGTAAGGTAATGAAATTAGGCGAAGGGAGCAGAAGGCTGAACACAAGGTATCATCTGGAAGGTGAAATCCTGCAAGAGTCAAATAGAGAGAAAGATCTGGGGGTTGATATCACACCGAACCTGTCCCCAGAGGCCCACATCAAAAGAATATCATCAACGGCATATGCTAGACTGGCCAACATAAGAACTGCCTTTAGAAACTTGTGTAAGGAATAGTTCAGGACCCTGTATACCACTTATGTCAGACCAATCCTGGAATATGCAGCTCCAGCCTTGAGTCCATACCTAGTTAAACACAAGACTAAGTTAGAGAAGATTCAGGGGTATGCCACCAGGCTCGTCCTGGAACTGAGAGGTATGAGCTACGAGGAAAGGCTAAAGGAGCTGAATCTCACGTCCCTGGAAAACAGAAGAGTAAGGGGAGACATGATAACCACCTACAAAATTCTCAGGGGAATTGACAGGGTGGACAAAGACAAACTCTTTAGCATGGGTGGGACACGAACAAGGGGACACAGGTGGAAACTTAGTACCCAGATGAGCCACAGAGACATTAGAAAGAACTTTTTCAGTGTCAGAGTAGTTAACAAATGGAATGCACTAGGAAGTGATGTGGTGGAGGCTGACTCCATACACAGTTTCAAATGTAGATATGATAGAGCCCAGTAGGCTCAGGAATCTGTACACCAGTTGATTGACAGTTGAGAGGCGGGACCAAAGAGACAAAGCTCAACCCCCGCAAGCACAATTAAGTGAGTACAATTAGGTGAGTACACCACACCCACACACACACCACACACACACACCACACCCACACCACACACACACCCCACACACACACACACACACACCACACCCACACACACACACACCACACACCACACCCACACACACACACACACACACACACACACACACACACCACACCCACACACACACACCACACACCACACCCACACACCCCCACCACACACCACCCACACCCACCACACACCACACACCACACCCACACACCACACACCACACCCACACACACCCACCACACTCCACCCACACATACACCACACACCACACCCACACACACACACCACACACCACACCCACACACACCCACCACACACCACCCACACACACACCACATACCACACGTCACACCCACACACACACCCACACACACACCCATACACCCACACACACTATTCTTCAACAGCAGCAATAATCCAGCTAAATTGCAACACGAACCTATCCATGGCTTGCAACCCATGCAAGTTTATTATACAATCACCTGCTCAATAATATCGTTCAGGACTGCTGAAGCTTGCATATTAAACAGCACCAATATAAACTGGACAAGTGTACATGATTAAAAGTGATTAAAATGATAGGGGAGAGTAATCAGGGACATGATTGAGAGGGAAGTCGACGTCTGTACTGGGCAAGCAAGCAAGCAATATGATCAACACCGCTGTGTATATAGTGGCTTGGTATGAATCAGATTTGAGCTTTTCACGATTCTTCTCTTATCTTTCAGATTGAGGTCAGTCAGCGTGCAGAGGCGCTCGCTGATCCAGTGGTGAGTACCCCCTCTGTTGAGCGAGAGAGAGAGAGAGAGAGAGAGAGAGAGAGAGAGAGAGAGAGAGAGAGAGAGAGAGAGAGAGAGAGAGAGAGATAAGGAGGGCGGTTAAATCTCAAGCTGTCATCCAAAACTTTAAGTATTAGGGGTGAGGAATGCAGGCACGGACAAGGAAGGAGAGCAAGAGATGAGAAGCAAGATGAAATCAAGAGCAAGGGTGACGATGAATGGGGAAAAATAGGAAACGAAATTAGATTTAGGAACTAGAGAAAAGAAGGAGAAACGAAGAGAACTGGACAATAATCCTCCACTACAAGAAATGGGGGGATAAAATTAATACTTGTTTCTGGACCCTTCTCAATTCCCCCACTCCCCATTCCCTCCATCCCTTCCCCTCCCCATTCTCTCCATCTTCCCCTCGCATTCCCTCCACCCCTTCCCTCCCAATACCCACCCACTCCCCCCAATCCTCCCACTCCCACCAACGATAGACTCCAATAGCCGTACGCTAACAGTCTCTACGATACGCGGAGAGCAACTGTCTGTAACAAGTTACGATCAATCAGGTTCTGATGGGCGTGACGCCGCTCGCGTGATGGTCACACCGTGCAGTCAAGACACGAAGGAGCAGGAGTCAGTCTTAAAGGAATTACGACCTCTTGAACACGTCAAGAAGTTAAATCTCAAATTGCTCGTTAATGGATTAAGGACTTGCTGGGTACGAAGTGGTTTGGCAACACTGTGTGTGTGTGAGAGACGCTATAGACGTTAGCTTACGATGGCTTGGTCATGGTTAACGATAGTTATCGTCATGTTTAACGATAGATTAATTACGAGGGTGTGTTCAGTGTTAGCAGTATATTTCGATGGCTTGGTCATGTTTAAAGATAGATTACGAAAGTCATGGTCATCCAGCGATAGTTATCGGTAGCTTGATCATGGTTAGCGATGGATTGCGGTGACCAGGTCATAATTAATAATAGATTACGATACTTAGATCATGATTAATAATAGATTACGATACTTAGGTCATGATTAATAGTAGATTACGATACTTAGGTCTTGATTAATAGTAGATTACGATACTTAGGTCATGTGTAGAGAGATTACGATACCTTGGTCATGTTTAACGATAGATAACGATGTATGCAGGTTGCAGCTAAATAATACTGACATTTACTTCATCATTGTTAACGATAAATGTCTGTGCCTAGACTTTGGGTAACGATTAATTATGATGCTTAGGTCTTGCGTAACGATAGACTGCGATCATGGATTTTTTTTTTTCGAATTTTCCCATTAATTGCCATTGGGTACGTGCCCAGCATGGGCGTGTCAGGAACGGCGTCAAAGAAAACGTGTGTCAAGTGACACGGCCAACATCATCTCCTCAAAGGTCTCTCAATAATATATGATTAACCTCAATATATTATTATTATTATTATTATTATTATTATTATTATTATTATTATTATTATTTGTAATAACGGAATCCAAAAACAAAAAATGGGTTGATGTTATCCTTTTTGCCCTGTGCCTTTATGGATGGTGAGAGGCTGAAACGATTGTGTGAAGTATTAATATAGTGTTATAGATAGTGTAGGAGAGAGAGAGGGGACGGGGGGAGGGAAGAGAAGGGAAGGGAACTATCAGGGGAAAGCGCCAAGCCATTACGACTACATAGGAGAGGGAACGGATAAAAAAGGGGGGGGGGGGGGAAGAAGGGAAGAGTTGGGGCAGAGGGGAAGCGGAAAAGAGAAGACGGGGGGAAGGAGGGGGGAAAGGGGAAGAGTTGGAGAGGGGAAGGGTGGAAGAGGTTTATGGAGGGGTGTAAGAATCGAAGAGGGATGTAAGAGGGTGTAGGGGGAAGTGAAGGAGGGTAGAGGAGGGGGGGAATGGCGGAAGGTGGGGGGGGGAGAGGTTGGTAGTTGTCAGGAGAAAGCGCCAAGCCATTATGACTATATAGCACTTGGAAGGGGTCAGGATAAGGATTTGGGATGGGACGGGGGGGAGGGGGAAGGAATGGTGCCCAACCACTTGGATGGTCGGGGATTGAACGCCGACCTGCATGAATCGAGACCGTCGTTCTACCGTCCAGCCCATGTGGTTGGGTGAGCCACACAGACTCAGGAACTGCTGATCTGTGTAGACGTTTGTGGGGGAAGATTTGTTTAGCAGGAAGTGGGTAGACCTGATGGTGGGGGGGGGATGGAGTGTGGTTGAGGGGGTTGTGAGTACACACACACACACACACACACACAAGTCCGCGGGTGGTATGCGAACAAGGGGACACAAGTGGAGATTGAGTACCCAGATGAGCCACAGGGACGTTAGAAAGAACTTTTTCAGTGTCAGAGTAGTTAACAAATAGAAGACATTAGATGGAATGCATTAGGCAGTGATGTGGTGGAGGCTGACTCCATACACAGCTTCAAGTGTAGATATGATAGAGCCCAGTAGGCTCAGGAATCTGTACTGATTGACAGTTGAGAGGCGGGTCCAAAGAGCCAGAGCTCAACCCCCCGCAAGTACAACTAGATATGTACACACACACTACGTCCTTCCCATCGCCTATGAACAAAAGTTCCACCGTAACCCGAACATACTTATTGCTGTTCTTATTGTCCAATCACTTAACGATACGATATCGGTATTGAATGTCGTAAAGATGTCACAAAAAACACACATAAAACCCAAAACATCGCAAGGCAAGTTGCTAGAAAATTGCTTGCATGTTTTTGAGGTGAAGCATCGTGCAACTGCTGTGACCTCAGCGTGTGTAAGATCTCACGGCGAAAGTTTAGTAATTCTCCAAGTCTAGCGGGGGCGACCTTCCGGGCTGGCTGGACGCTAATATGTATAAAGATATCTCATTAATGGTGGTTTAAGGGAGGTGGAGGGTAGATATGAGGGGAAGTTATTGTGAGGGCGGGGGAAGGAGGGGGGGGGGGGGTCAGGGGTGGTGGTGATGGTAGTGGGTTGTTGGTAATTGTGGTGCTGGGGCAATTTATCCTGTAGTTCTGCCATATCGCTTTCCGTCTCTGGTCCATTATGACTTCCCCAGCAACAGTTCCAAGGTACAGGATGAACATGTTCCAACTGACACCCAGACCGTGAGGGCACAAAGCTCGCCATAAGACGTGTCGAAATCCCAACTGTGTACAGACCTGAGGTCACGCCTAGGAGACAAGTCTGGGTGGTACAGTGCTCCCGATCTCAGGCCTGGAGGAGCAGCAAGCGATCAGAGTGTCCGGGCTCGTCCTCCATGGATGACACAGTGTCTCTGGCTTCGGTCCAGTAGCCCCTCAAGTCTCCAGAGCCTCGCAGAGCCACAATGGTCGCAAGTGATTTGCAACAGCCGCCAGCAGAGTGCTGGGGGGCTGGTTCAGTCAAGCTCCTGCGGCGTGATACGAAGTTGTATTGCATCCGCACCGGCCAATACAATACAACCGGTGTATTGCACCGGTTGTATTGCATTAGCGATACACTGGTATCGCAACAGCACTGCAACAGTGAAAGGAAATTTATTTTACTTGCACTCAGTCGTACTGTTTGAATAAAACTTGTATTATTAATAGAGATATATGTTATAGAACATCTTGCACAAGTTGTGAAACTAATATATACCAATTTTACAAGAAATAATATTAACTAACGATGACCAGCACACAACAGATGGGAAATTCTCTTTGCTAATTCTCAAGGCTTTTGATAGCTATGCGCTGTATGTCAGAACAAACAAAATACTCCCCAACGACACTGTTGTCACTGGTGACTGACACACACAGCCCCCTGGGGGCTACGAGGTCCCTGGGGGCCTCGTAGCCTGGTGGATAGCGCGCAGGACTCGTAATTCTGTGGCGCGGGTTCGATTCCCGCACGAGGCAGAAACAAATGGGCAAAGTTTCTTTCACCCTAAGTGCCCCTGTTACCTAGCAGTAAATAGGTACCTGGGAGTTAGTCAGCTGTCACGGGCTGCTTCCTGGGGTGTGTGTGTGTGTGTGTGGTGTGGGGGAAAAAAAAAAGTAGTTAGTAAGTTAGTAGTTAGTTAGTAAACAGTTGATTGACAGTTGAGAGGCGGGCCAAAAGAGCAAAGCTCAACCCCCGCAAAAACACAACTAGTAAACACAACTAGTAAACACACACAGGAACAGTACATACAAACATTTTTAAAACACCCATAAGAATATAATATTTTACTTTACATGAATACTAGGTGCCAAGGAACAAAAATAAATTAAGCTTTAATATTACCTCAAATAGTTAACCAAATCTGTAAAGAATGAACCAGCACCAAAAATTACCGGGCTTATTATACAGTTTACAGAAAGTCACTTCCTATGGAAATTGTACAAATATAGCCACTCACTATAGTAAATTTGTTGATGAAGCAAAGTACCTACTTAAACCAGTACAGAGTACCTACTTAAACCAGTACAGAGTACCTACTTAAACCAGTACAGAGTACCTACTTAAACCAGTACAGAGTACCTACTTAAACCAGTACAGAGTACCTACTTAAACCAGTACAGAGTACCTACTTAAACCAGTACAGAGTACCTACTTAAACCAGTACAAAGTATCTACTTAAACCAGTACAGAGTACCTACTTAAACCAGTACAGAGTACCTACTTAAACCAGTACAAAGTATCTACTTAAACCAGTACAGAGTACCTACTTAAACCAGTACAAAGTATCTACTTAAACCATTACAGAGTACCTACTTAAACCAGTACAGAGTACCTACTTAAACCAGTACAGAGTACCTACCTAAACCAGTACAGAGTACCTACTTAAACCAGTACAGAGTACCTACCTAAACCAGTACAGAGTACCTACTTAAACCAGTACACGTGAGAGGCAGAGTGTTAGTAGCGACTCTGGAGGTGACGCATATACAAATTCCCCAGTGTATATATATTTGTACTGGATTCTGCCTGTAGATTGAAGAAGAGAATGCCTTTCAGGGTTTATTCCCTTAGGTTAGGAGGGAAAATTA